CCAAAAAAAAAAGAAGACACCCCACCCCAAAAGGAAGATATTATTCGAGGAGGGAAGCAATCAGAATAACTTGATGAGAAGACAATGGATGACGAGTGCTTCTTGTCTTTCCCAGTTGCCATGGACACCAAGAAAGCTGAGTTGCTGCATTGCGAGCATTTTTTATTTTAACGGAGAACATAACAAGGTTCAAGAGTATGTCACAACAAATCAGGTGTATTTATACAGTGTGTTTGCAAATAGGCCCTGCGATGGACTTGCGACCCGTCCAGGGTGTACCCCGCCCCTCGCACAGTGATTGCTGGACATGGGCACCAGCGACCCCCGTGACCCAAAATGGAACAAACGGGTAAAGATAATGGATGGATGGATGTTTGCAAATATTATTCTAATTTTTATTCATGTGTTATTAATTAATAATATCCTTGAGTACTTTATGTTGAGGTGCTTTTTGAAGCGTTCACATCAGTGTTTACAAAAAAGTCAAATTTTAAAATTTTTTTGTTTAAAATTGATCAACATTATTTAGCAAAGAAGTTAGAAGTAAAGTTTTTACAGTTTTTAAAGTTTACCCCTATTTTTTGAGTAAAATTAAAAGAAAATTTTAAATACCAGTGGTTTAAATATCTTCATTGACCAATTTTCAGAAAGTGATCAAAATATTAAAACAAAATATGTCTGTTATTTGAACATTTAAATATCATACTTTTCTGAAACAGCATCCTCAGCCTTCCATGTGTTGTTAAAAATATTAGCATATTTCTCACTGTGAATCTTAGATTACTGAGGGTCTTCAGTTCCACAGATGGTTCAGGATTTTTTTTTTCACATTGAAATTTCATCTAATATTATTCCTTTTTTTTACTTGATCCATCTGATCCATAAAGAGTGCCTCTTAGTCACTTTTCCCATGTCAATAATGTAAAATAAAAATATAATTAGGTTTTGCCTGAAATTGTGCTTTAGCTTGTGAATCGTTTTATTCTGTGGTGGTCTTCTTTCCCAGAACTGAAGACTCAATGTGTGATATAGAGCTGAAATATTGTGGCACTTAAGAGTATAACATCATCATTTTCTTTTTCTTTGATTGGTCACAGTTGACAGTAATCATTTTTTTCAATGTGTTTTTTTTACAGTACTGCGGATGTTTGGAATTGAAAAAAAAAACAATGGAAAAGGGCATCAAAGTGCACATTTGTTCAATAAATGTACACAGTCTGTCAAATGTATGTATGTATTTGTATTTATTTTTTTCTACAAATTGCAGATTTGCTGTCATTCAAATGACAAATGCTCTCATCACAAACCGTTCAAATAAAAGGGGAGCACACAACCCATGTATAAAACAGCGTTGCAACAGGATGAACGCGGAGCTCATTAGAGAGAGTGTTCATCTTTGATGGGTGTTTTGATGAAATGAGTGTGCAATCTCCATCACATGGAGGCCATTAGTCTCTTCTTTGGTCCTTACAGTAACATTTTCTTCAGCTTTTTTTTTTCAAGTGTTTGTCTCTTTAGAAAAGGAGAGCAAACCCATGAGTGTCATGATAGGAAAATAACATTACTGCAATTGCATGACCTTGTTATTGATTTTGTAAATGTGGTAAATAGATCCAATGACCATTTATAACAAGGGTTTATTTCTCATTTAGCCATGGGCATGAAATCATTTGGCAGACTCAAGATATGTATTTATTTATTTTTTACTCTTGTGTTAGGTAGCCTAAATTGTGTGCATTCGATTTGTAGCATTGCCAATCAATGGAATGAATCAGTGAATGTGAAATTCAGTGCATGCTCTCTGGGGAATAAACCGGTCAGTAAACAAGTGTAAATAACAACACAACAATACACTTGTGTAGATATTGACACTGGATGTCCCATGAGGAATATGGAGATCTGGTCTGACAGTAGATTACAACTGTATATACGCCTGGAAACCATTAATAATATGGATTACAAACAGGAAGACAAGTGAACGCCCCCATTCCTCTCTGATCAGTTGAGCTCGTGCTTCTCTGGCTTTCAGAACACAAATCCTAAAATTCCACTGCACCTGATCCGTTTTCTGATTGGTTTCTTAGTGGTATGCATCCTTGTATCTCAAAGGGTAAAGTAATTTTACAAAGTGGGAGAAAAAAAAAAAAAACATCCCCTCCTCTGATTGGCCACGTGCAGGAAACGTAACACCACACCAGGCTTGTGGAGCAGCAGTGGTTGGAGAAACTGATCGCGGATGCACATATTTGTGCATTCTGCAAAACTTTCCCCGCGATATCTTCACCTTTATTTATTTATTTATTAAAATTCATTGTATTTCCTCTTCCACTGATAGCGGATCAGCACGCAGCGTTTTGACGCAAAACGAGAGTCCGCGCGCGTCTTTCAGCACGTTGGACAGCGCGCGGAGCCGCAGAGGCGGTGCGTGGATTCAACCGGTGGCTCTCAGCACGTTTCCCCGAAGTGAGAGGAGTGTTTCAGGCGGCGTTACATAAGGAAACTCCTCTTACTCCACATGTGGGATCGCTGCTGTGCTCTCTGGATCACGCGGAGTTGTCATTTTTATCCTTTTCTCGCTTTTTGTGGTGGGGAATAAAAAAAAACAAGTGCTAATTCTGTGGTGCGGGGAGGCGTGCCCTGCCGGGTAAGTGGGTTGACTCCAGAAGCCTGACCAGCGTGGAATCAGGTGCCGACGAGAGACCCTCCATTTATAAGAAGGATGCTGTTGGGAAATGCCTGGAGACAGAGATGACGAGATTTGTCAAAAAGCACTTGAACTGCTGTCAGATCTTTGCTCGAAGGGGGAAGTGCAGAACGAAAACTGCCTGGATTTTATCTACTATTTCCGAGACCTGGCCAGACCACGTTATTCGGATTCAGGTGAGACTTCATTTGCATGCTTGAGCCTTCAAGCTGCGCATGCGACTGATTTTTTATTGAAAGCCAAGCAGCCAAAGCCTAATAAGTGACCAGAGACATGCTAGATGCATTGCCATCTTTTTGTATCTCTAATCCATCTGGACACCCAGTCTGTAGGATTTTCTTCACATTAATGGGCTTATCAATTATCCAGTTTCATTAAACCGTTACAGACGGTGCTCTTTATCCTCATTAATTTCCACTCTGGCTTTATTAAACCACATTTATTAGAGTACTTTGCTTCATTCTGTCCTCATGAGCATTTAGGATGAAGCTCACAAGATAAGAAAGGGAACACTGCTTCTTGTCTTGCTTCAGTGACTGTGCATGTAGCTCCACAGATGTGAATATGGACCATATATAGTTTATTGAAAGTTTTCTTCAGATGGAAATCCTTGTCTGATATAAAAACTGGTGAATTAACAATTATGTCCAAATAAAAAGCACTGAATCACATGTGTACAGTGAAGACCCCATCACTCTTTAGCAACACCTTAGATTTACAGTCTGATTGATGTGAGTGTGTGAGTGCGCGTGTGCACGAAAAAAGCGTTCCATGGAGTGATGGAGGTGCAATTTCTGCAATTACTATAACCACATGCTCATTTCACGGTTGTTAGTTTGTATTGTGAATATTTATTCAACCCTTCGGGTTTCAGACTTTTTCTACCCTTATTTTCGGTCCACCTACTTTTCGTTCACCCTTCAACTTGTTTTTTTTCTTTTCCCAACTGTGCCTTCCTCACTCTCCTCCTCCCTTGATTTGTCCTTTTCACTGGGTGACAGCTTGAAAAGAGGAGCTGTGGTGGGTGCAGTGAGGTTATCTATCACAAATATACACATGACGTTTTAATTTGAGTTTTTACTGTAGCTGACAGGTATCATTCAGCATGATGACAGCATCCCTGATGGGATGATAGACAGCAGAACTGAAGGCATGTCACACAGACTAGAACACATAAGAATAGTTTAGATATAAGTGACTGTTTCTGTTTTTCTTTTATTTATTTTTTAATGGTCTTTTATTTATTATTATTATTTTTTTACATTTAGAAAGACTTTAACATGCTTCACATTGCAGTATACCTGCTCACATTAAGTCCTGATGCACCTGGACTCTTTTATGTCAATGAAACATCCATCCATCCATCCATTATCTTTACCCGTTTATTCCATTTTGGGTCACGGGGGTCGCTGGTGCCCATGTCCAGCAATCACTGTGCGAGGGGCGGGGTACACCCTGGACGGGTCGCAAGTCCATCACAGGGACACATAGAGACAAACGAGACAAACAACCATTCACTCTCTCACTCACACCTAGGGACAATTTAGAGTTACCAATCAGCCTAACATGCATGTTTTTGGTCTGTGGGAGGAAACCGGAGTAGCCGGAGGAAACCCACACATGCACGGAGAGAACATGCAAACTCCACCCAGAAGGCCCCTGGACCGGGGTTTGAACCAGGGACCTGTTCGCTGAGAGGCAGCAGCTCTACCAGTTGCGCCACCGTGCTGCCCTCAATGAAACATATTAACACTAATAAGAAAGCATATTTTAAATCAAAATTTGGGATAAGATAAACATTTGGAAAATATCCACAGTCACTTTTGCATTTGCACCCAAAGGTTTAACTCATCTCAGCCATGCATTTATGAAGCAGATGGAAACAAACAAGTTGTGTTTTATTTACAATGTAAACAAAAAAAAAATAGATATTTAATGAATACTATGTGCTGAACTTTTTCTTATTCTAAACTTTCTGGGATTTTATTATGTTCTTGCTACCTTATACAAATACGTTGCTCCTTCTGTCTTTATTTTCTTGACTGGATTAAGGCTCAAACATGAACAAAATGATTTGCCATTTTAATTTGGGAACGAGAAATTTTGTGTCTTGGAATGCAACGTTCCTTAGGGGCTTAGTTCTACCTGGAATTAACATATTCTCTGAATAAAAAAAATGAATATTAGACAACAATAAAATGTTCCCTTTATAAGGCACAGCATGTGTTTAACAATTAGGTACTTCTACATGCAGCACACGATCTGCTGCTTTTATAATTTTGACTTATTTCTTGTTACCATTTAAATGTATGCAACTAAGCTGCTTTGAATATGATCATTACCAGCAGGGGAGTCCTTAAGTCCAATCACGCATTACCATACCTGTAAGAGTTTATATATATACATAAATATATATATTAATATATATATATATATATAAACACACACACTATAGCCCCTTGTTTATTGTGAGGGTTATCTGTACCCTGAAGACTCGTGATAACTGAAAAACCGCCAAGTATGAATATTAGTTCAAGTATTAAGTTGTAGTTTATTTCACATTTAAATATAAATATATATTAAGGTATTTTAAACCCTTCCCACACTCTGGCAATATTTTAAGTAATGTGTCTAAACTCTAAACACTCTTAAAGAACACAGAATGTCATAATTTCAGCTTCCTGCCTCCTCTGCTCTTTGCCACCTGCAAGCGCTCTTAGCCATGCCCACTTCTCCACTCTGCATGGTGAACAGCTGATCAGCTGCAGCAGGAAGTTTATCCTCCAGCAGTATGGGCTGCACAAAGCTGCAAGAGGAAGCATTTTTTTTTTTGGCAGCTCTGGGTTGCACAAATGTGCAGCAGCTGCTAAATAATTTAAAATAATTTAAAATAATTTATTTTAAACAAAAATTCTATGCCGATTATGCGGCTCATTCATCAATCAGCCAATTGTGTGTCATGTCCTATATATATATATATATACACAAACAGTATGTAATACATACATTTTTTTCAGTTCTTGCTCACCTCCTACATTATTGCAGCACCTTTAAAGGGCCTGTGCTCTAAATTTAGCCCAGTGTTTTTTGGTGTGATATTGTGTCTGAAGCCCACTCCAGATGTCTACAGATTCTTCTTCAGCAGGCAGCACTGAGGCAGGCTGCCAAGCTGACACTGGGCTCAGTGTCCTCGGATAGCAACAAATCCCTCAGTTTCTCCCAAATCACACTTACTCTGGTGTTCTCAGAATCTCGCAGCACAGAAAGGACAGTTGGTCTGAGTTCCTGTGCTAACTCTTATGACTGCGCCCACACACAGAGCCCATCCTGCATAGAGCAAAGCTGCTGGGTTTGGAGGATGGGTTACTTATCTTCAAAGTACAACCTCAAATGAAAAGGATGGAACTATTTCTTCCAAGCCAGTCAGTGTCCTTTTGTAATTATTGTGACAAACATCCTTTAGATGTTTTTGACATGTGTGCTTTCAGCTGATGCATTTCATTTGCTTTGCTTTTTACCATTGCATCATGTCAAGGTGTTTTTTTTTAATGGTTTGTTTGTTTTTTGGTTACAGAAGACGCTAATTGATGCCAGTATATATGTTATTTTATTATAATAAAAAGGTAGCTAAACATTATCTGTTGATAGTGTGCAACAAAAAAAACAACATATTTTAACAGTTTGGAAATTACTGACCTTTTTCAAACTCCCTATGCTCAATTGAAAACGAAACAATGGGCCTTCAAATCAAATTGTTCACCAATTAATGCTTTCTTTTTAGAAACTAGTGTGCCAAAAGCAATACAAAAGAGTGTGCAGCTTTTAAATTCCTAAAAATAGACTATTCTTGACACTGCCAAGCAAGAATCTTTTGATTTTACTGTGAATTGGCCAACAAAGCTTTGTGAAGTATGCATCGCATTACATGCACCATCACTTTGATGGTAATTATGAAAATGATGGCACACTTGTCACCTCAGAAAAAAAAGAAAAAAAAGAAATAAAGACAAAGAGACGCTAACGTTGTTCTGAAATTTCATTTGCTTCTAAAAATTTTCATAATTGTAAAGCTATTTCATCTGCATGCTTTTTTGGAAATTCCATTCAAATTGCCATCAGCATCCTCTGCACATGTACAGTAATAAGTCATAAAAAACAAGACAAAATAAAACACTTTCCTATGGTGCCTAATAGCCTGTTGCACAGTCAGCAAATAAGCATTGAATATGTCTCTATTAGTGACACCACATACCCCAAAATAGAAACGGTCAGGTGGATACAGCTGCCTGGTGCTGTTTAAAATACACTGTGTAGAAGCCTGAGCGGTTTGGAAAAAAGGTTTAAGTTAAAGTGAACATTTGGGACTAAAAGTCCACTGGAGACTAGTTTTGCAACAGGATATCAGATGTATTTACAATTCAAGTGATTGGATTCAGTCTGAGAGGATGATGGGTGGCTTACACACTTGAATACTTGATGATGGTGGAACAGGACAAAATGAGCTGACACATTGGGGACTGTGCTGTGGAGGAGTATGAAAACAAGTGTAATGCCTGAAAGTAGAACAGTGCAACAACATAATCATGTTTATTTTCAATGAAATATAAGCATTCTGATCATTCTGATCACCACATTAATGTGGTGCTCAGTACCTTCTGCAGCTCGATTTCCTGAAACTGCAGGTTTGAGCCCATGTTGCCCAGGAAAGGCATTTAGCATAAAGCAATTGTCAAATTTGCAATGCAACTAGCTAGCTCACTGTGGCAACCCCTGCAGAAGAGCCAATAAAAACAAACAAACAAAAAACAACAATAATAATAATATAATGCATTTCATTTAAATTTCTTAGTTATAGAGTTTCAAAAATTACAATTCAGAATCTGTCTTAGTGACCCTCCTGAGTAAAAATGTAAAACCCACATTCAAGACAAGTGTATCAGTGTTGACTATAGGGAGTGCATTACCATGTGCTTCATTAATTCCCACCTTAATTGGAATAGAGATGTTGGGTTAATTTGGGGGATGTACTTATCTATTAGTTTACAGTGTATGAGTCAGAAGCCAGGTCTCTTTTGAAGAAACTGGATAATGCTTATTCTCAAGACTGTGGCTTTTAAATAATCTCCTGGAGAATCACTTGTAATATCAATGAGGGAAATACAAACATTAAATAAAA